TATTGAGCCACAAAAATCAGGGTAACATTATGAACCAAAGTAGTTTATATAGTATAAGGAAAACTACAAAAATTAGGAAACTAAAACAATAAGGAAACTAATATATATGATTATGCTAAATATATTATTATGTTATCATCCCCTATCAAACTCACGATGCGAAAGCAAGAAGTGGCGAGAGTTTGTCACGTAAGAAACGAAAACGATGAACTGGATGGGACTTAGCGAAGAAATCAGTAAGCTGCAACGATGAGGAAACTAAATGTAGGGAAATAGTGTCAGTCTGCAGATGGTGGCTAATCAAATGACAATCAAACTCAATATGCTTTGTGCGCTCATGGAACACAGAGTTGTGAGATATCTGAATAGCACTTGTATTATCACAATACATAAGGGTTGGAAAAGAATGAGGAACACCCATGTCTGCAAGTAACCATTGCAACCATACAATCTCAGTGGTAGTAGATGACATAGCTCGATACTCTGCCTCGGTAGAGGAGCGGGAAACAACAAGCTGCTCCTTACTTTTCCAAGAGATAAGAGAATCACACAAAATATACAAAAACCAGTAGTGGACTTGGTCAATTAGTTGATAATAACTGTGATGTGTGTTTCTCTTGTATGGTTGTCTTGTGCAAAATTAGGGATCGAGAAAGGTGATCGCGAAGAGGCATAAAGTCGGAAGATTGTTCCCACTACAGTTTATTATTCCCCATGCTACGTCTTTGGCTTGTATTAGTGATAGATGTAAACATGAAGTTAGGCAAAAACACTTGGGTTATCCCAATACTTTAAATTTATCTCATTTATTGAAGAGTGGTTTTTTGGGGTAATAAAGACAAGTTCCAATTTTCTGATTTGTCTTTCAATTGTGATATTTGTAAACTTGGAAAAAGTAAGACTCTTCCATTCCCAACTCATGGAAGTCGTGCTGATAAATGCTTCGAAATTATTCATAGTGATGTTGGGATATGGTACCTTTGACTTTGCATGCTCATTATAAGTATTTTGTGATGTTTATTAATGATTTCAGTCGTTACACTTTGATATATTTTGTGCGCTCTAGAAGTGACGTCTCTACTTTTCTTCAAACTTTCATAGCTTACATTGAGACACAATCTCCTCCAGTATTCGAATATTGAGGTCCGACGACGGTAGGAGAATATGTCTTATCAATTTCAATTCTCCTTACAACAAAAGGGTATTCTTTTTTAATGCTCTTGTCCATATACCCCTCAGTAGAATGGAGTGACAGAAAGAAATAATCATCATCTATTAGACGTTGTCAGAGTTTAGGTTTTGGAATCTTCGGCTCTACCCAAATTTTGAGTCGAAGCCCTTTCTACAGCTATATATTTGATTAATCGACTTCCTGCTCAGCATTTGATTTTGAACCAGCTTATTTTCATCTGTATGGTACACATCCTAACTATAACATATTGCATACTTGGTTGTGTCTACTTTGTCCATTTACCTCCTCACGAACGTAATAAGCTTAGTGCTCAATCCGCACGGTGTGCTTTCATAGGTTACAACATTGCTCAAAAAGGCTTTAGTTGTTATGATGGTTTTGCAAATTGTTTTCATATCTCTCGCAATATAGTCTTCTTTGAGAATCAATACTACTTCCAACATGTTGTTTCATCTCCTAATTTGGCTCCGCTTATTAGCCTTGAAAATAACTTCGATTTTGTAAAGCGCTTTAAACCAGGTATGGTTTATCAAAGATGACAGCCACCAAATCGACTACCCCCTTCCCGATTCTAATCCATATCCCGATCCCGATTCCATCCCAAAATCTGTGATTCTTTGGCGATCTACTTGTGTTACTCATCCTTCTGATCGATATGGCTTCTCTGCAACCTTATGTCATTTCACAGTTCATACTTCTTATTCTCAGGCTACTACTCAACCCTGTTGGGAGAAAGCGAGGCAAGTGGAAGTTCAAGCTCTTCAAGAAAGTCACACATGGAACATTGTTCCTTACCTTCCTCATATCTGATCTATTGGTTGCAAATGGATCTATTTTGTTATGCTCGGATCTGATGGATCACTAAAGCATTATAAAGCTAGTTTGGTGGCTCTTGAGAATCGTCCAGAATATGGGGTGGATTATGAGAAGTCCTTTGCCCCTATTACCAAAATGATTATTTCGGCTATAGCTACCTATAGGAGATGGTCTTTACGACAGATGGATGTCAAGAATGTTTCCTTATATGGTGACCTTAAGGAAGATATTTATATGACAACTCTTGCAGGTCTCTTTTTGTTACCATCTTCCGATGTGTGTAAAATAAAGCGTTCGCTTTATGGGTTGAAGCAGGCTCTTCGTACTTGGTTTGACAAATTTCGTTGGTAGCCAATGAAGAGTGTCATTAGTGGTCTATTAATATAGATGTAGCTAATAATGAAGAGTAGAAAGAGATATAGAAAGTATGCCGCATGGAATATTTATAGGTAGCCAGTCTTTACTTAACTCGACCCAAGCACTCATGTGTCTTTTCTGTCCTTCGTAAGCAAGCTGGCTATTCCCGATGAAAAGTTTCAGAGGTTTGGCATCTACACAAGAAAAACATATCACCCGTAGCACGTAAGGTGCTGAAAATAAGACCCATTGAGAAGGGTAACTGACATCTAAGATCTCTCCTCTCATGTCTGGAAGCGTAAGAACTGCTTTGAAACGACATAAAATACCTACTCTTTTTGGCAACTCATTTATCCAGAGTAAATATGATTCGTCTCTCTTCATCTTTACCACCAAAGCGGATACTGTGTTACTTTTGGTCTATGTTGATGATATTGTTATTACTGGAATTGACTCCGGATTGTTATCTCAACTTCAAAATCGAGGATTTGGGCCCCTTGCAGTATTTCTTAGGTCTTAAGGTGCTTTCAAGTCTAACCGAAACTTATCTACATCAGCATAAGTATTTGGAGGAATTGATTACTTTAGTTGGACTTAGGGACAGTCACTTGGTTGATAATCCTTTGGAAGTGAATGTGGAGTATCGTAAGAACGAAGGTGATCTCCTTCTCGATCCCTCTCTATATCGCCAGTTAGTGGGTAGCCCGAATTATCTCAATACTACTTGACCAGATAGCTCTTTTGCCGAACAAGTCTATCAGTTTATGCATACTTGACGACATCTTCATCTAACTGCGATTTGTCGCATTATACGATACTTACTGGGCACACCTGATAGGGGTCTTTTCTTTCCTACAAATTCATCTCTTCAGTTGATTAGATATAGTGATGTGGATTAGGTTGGATGTACGGATACTAGCTGCTCGATTATAAGTTGGTGCATATTTCTTGAGGATGCATTAATTTCCTAGAGCAACAAGAACCAGGATTGTGTCTCTAAACTTTCCACTGAATCTGAGTATCATGCTATGTCTTCTATCTATTATGAGATTATTTGGCTACGGGGCCTTCTAGCAGAGCTTGGTTGTCCTTAGTTTCAGCCTACTCCACTTTATGTTAATAATACTAATGCCATTCAAATTGCTACTAATCCTGCATTTCATGAGCGCACTAAACATATTAGGTAGATTGTCACTCTATTCGTGAGGCTTATGATGGTCACATTATTTCTCTTCCACATATCACCATTGACGTTTAGATCGTTGATGTGTTTACTAAGGTAATTACTCGACAGCGTCATCAATTCCTTGTCGACAAATTGATGCTTCTTGATCGTCCAGCATTAATTTGGGGAGATGCCAATGAGATTGCGATTGAGATCACGGAGATTTCGATAATCATGAAGACTACGGTTTATTACCATATTTATATATATGCATGTTGTATTTTACGTAGTAATTACAATTTACCTAAAATTATGTTATATAACCATGTATGTAATATTCATCTATATAATGAATGTATCCCGAATGGCGAGAGACAATTCAACCAATTATTCAGTAAATGACACAAAACATCAAATTGCTTTAACTCACCATGCTGTTTCATCTCCTCACTGTTTTCTGAATACGAGGTCTGGTGGCAGAGGCTACAAATGCTCGTCCGATGCCTGGAAATTGAAAACACACACACACACAAAAAAAAAGGGAAAAAAATCTGCACTCTAGATTAAGGTACTTATACTATACAAAATAAGTTACCCAGAAAAAAAAAGAAAAAAAAAAAAGATTAGTAAATTCAAGACACATTGAGTTGTCCTCTAATTCACGTTTTAATGCAAGATTTTAATATTTATTTTGAAAAACACAGAAAGAAAAAACAAATAATATGAGAATCACACTTATAAATTAGTAGAATAAATTATTAACAAATGTATTGTTACAATTGTAGAAGAAAATAACTTTGCATCCAAAAATTTGATCCAAAAGAATTTTTAAAAGCTATTAAAATCCAAGAAAGCATGCAAACAACATAACTATAGGCCAACTGAATAGGTAAAAATGGAGTATTTCAAATGTTACGAGTTACTGCAATTTATGTATAGTTGAAGAAACATTCATGTTAATATAAGTCAATGAATCTAAATTTAATGACTCATTGTCCAGAAATTAACTGTTATGGATTGTGCACTATTTTAAATAAAGAGGCCTTCTACAGGTTCCTTCAGGAGCCTAAATCATATCACTTTCATTTCTAATCTGATCGCATATAAAGCTAAGAAGGAATTTTAGTTCATTAGACTTCAAATTCTTCCATTTATGCCGCAGCAATTATGCGGCAGTGTAGCTGGAGAAAAAAATCTCTTGGCTATTTGTATACGGCGTCGTTGGATGCTCCCTTTATCTTTCTGATACTTGCACCATCTTTGGTAGGAGGAAGGAAATGGTCATTAAGCAAAGGGTGATACAAGGGAAACAAACATTTTCTTTCCAAGAAAGAAAGCAGGAATATAAAATAGGCATGCATCCCACTGTTTTCAATTCCTTTTGAAACTCAATCTGAGAATAGTTTGAAATCCCTTTCAATAAACCAATAGAATATGATTTTCACTGTCAGCCTTAGGACATCAACAATTGAACTGACAAATGAAACATGAATATTCACATTTTCTCCGGCAGCAAGAATCACCAATTTACCATCTTCAGCAGTTTTTTTGCTACCGACATTGGTGCTTCAAGGTAATAACAACCTTTTGCAGTCAATTGTCTGAAAGCATCGGAAGATAGTGTTTAATGACCAACATGAATGTACCTTTCTTGGTCCCGTTCCATTTTCCAGTTTCATCTGATTAAACTCAAGAATTGTGTATGTAAGTCGAAATCAAAATAATAAAGTCACGCTTTCTATAAGCAAAATGCATTCAGAGAAGCTAGGAGATCAACAGTATGAATTGATTTTAAAATCTTAAAATGCCTTCATGTAAATTATGTTAGCTTCCAAAAAGATATGAGAAAGCACATCAAAGATTCAAGTTTACGCAATAGAAGACTTTACGCAATCAATTCTAACCTGTTAAGTTTTAGCAAGTCTCGACATCAAAAGTTGATACGTCAATGTTTCCTTATCCAGGATCCATTTGCTCTAGTTAGAGAGGTCGACCAACTTGTTACAGTTCGATTAGGTCGGGTACCTCAGTTGCAGTTTGTTTCCTTTAAGAAAATATTCAAATGTAAAAACCAAAAGATAGAGAGAGATATCACTACATAAAGGCAAAAAACATAAATATAATCTGCCAAAACAAAAGATAACTTCAAGAAAAGAAACTAATTGCTAAGGCTAATTATTCCCTCAGAGATCTTTGGACATCATACCTTGAGATGGCCATAGCTAAAAGTAATTTCTCCCAATGTAAGATTCTGGGGTTATTTAGTAGATCTATGGCAGGTAAGGAAGAACTAAAGAGGAAGTTTAGCCAGCTTCAATAACCAATGGAGTGGGTAAATTACTGGAGGTTCCAAACCCCAATTTTTTTGGAAATTCTACAATATAGAGCTCAGAACAAAGCTAAGAGCATAATCATTTGAACATATCAACCTTTAAAACTAACTGTGGTATAGCCATAGGATTTGAATAAGCCTTACGAGTCCAATGATAAACACGGCGGCAATAATAAAGAAATTTTTTAAATGGGAAAAAAAAAACTTTCCGAGCTTTCTTAATTGCATTGTTTTAGATTACAATGAATTGTGAGAGTGACAAAGCTAAAACCCTGTTGGAGATAATATAATGCTCGAAAACCACGTACCTGATACAAACATAAGAGAGCGATTACCAAATATGTGATACTGCTTACGGCCTTTTCCAGCTGCAGTTTCAGGAATGCTCAAATGAGAGTGCTCTGCTGCATCAGCTTTGTGCTGATAGGAATAGAAGCCTCAATTCCCATGTCCTAACTTACCTATAAAAACATTATAGCAGAATGATATCAGCTTCAGGCACAGAAACTACATTCAGAAGCAGCAATTTATTAAGAAGTTCGTTCAAATATGCACAAGAACTCCACAGTACAAGGTCCATCATTCAAACCATGCACAAATGATGCTCCCCATATACCAGTAATTCACAGTGTGCTACACAATTTACATGGGTCATCACACGTGTAGCTCTGCTAAATTGCTGGGTCTGCCACTTCAAATTAGGTAATGGCTAATGTTCTGGACAACTATTTATTCAGTCTTCACAATTAGATGGACTAAAGACTTAGCCTATATACAGATTTCAATGTATTGTAAACAAAATACGAGAACCTTAGAAAGTTCTGTAGGTAGCAACTGCAATTCTTTGCGTAGATTTATCATGTAATTAAATAAGATTTATCAGTATCAACAAATATCCTTCACTTCAAAATCAAAATGAGCAAGCCACAAGATGAAGCATGTACATGAAGTATGAGTGAAACTGTAAATTAGTACTTGATGGATAAAGAGATTATAAATTCATGCTCACTGTAGAAGATGCCCTTGTTGAATCTTGAATCAAGGATCAAGATCGTCGATAGCGGCAACAATGAGGCTAGGCATTTCGTAACCAGTGGCTTCCCCATGACCAGCAACGTCCAGAAGCATCTCAGTTGCTTTCTTCCATGAGGGTTCACAGGAACTGGAAAGGAAAAAAATACAAATACGTGGGTATTAGAAGACAATACTATGCCAAATCAAGCAATTAAGGAGATAAGAAGCAATATCTAAAAAGGTGAATAGACTCCTGTTCTCTTGATTCAATACAATAGGAAAGATAAATGAAAGCAAACATCAACATAAACATCAATGTAATGGATAGATCATAAGAAAAAAAGTCATAAATGAGGCTTGCTGATACATTATGATTTATGAAGCAACAAACCCCTAACATACTTGTCAACCAACAAAACTCCCTTTTTTTTTCTTAGAGCATAAAACATCTTTAACATTCGAATATGAGCTCAAAGCAATAGGATGTTACAATTATTTAAAGAGTATTAGTCATATTCTGCCTCTCACAAATATCACTAAGATACATAGATTTCATAATCCATATTCCTAAGCTATATGCTTTGTCATTCCTCCTTCCTTTTAAACAGTATCCCAAGCGTGTGCTTATTGGATTGCATTGACCAGTTTATATTTACGGCACCTCTAGACATCGCAGGACCCTACTCATAAACAAGGAGCAAGTGCATAATACAGACGAAAAACCCCAGGTGTTGATTAATATAACAAGAAATAAACAACGCGTTCTCCACAGAACAACCAGTTAGAACGAAATGATACCATCACAGACCTTAACACAAGCCTTGCACCAAAAAAATCACCTTAGAAAAGAAAATGTTGAAGTGATATGGTCTACTTGTCCTTATCTTCTAACTGGAAGAGGCATTCTTTCTTGCAGCATAAACCCGAAAAGCAGCCAGCCAACAATGGCTACTGCAGCTTCAGCAGTAATATGAGGACGACGTTTAAACCATCTTGGAGGTGAACATATAGGTAAAAAATTTCACAAGGGATAAGTGCTTGGGTTATCAATTATTAAACTTACCTTCATAGGAGCAAGATGATTCCCAATTGTTTAATCATCCAGTCCAGTGTCGGACGACCGGTTTGGTCATCCGAAAGGACAGAATATTTGGTCCATTTTTCATCCGTTTATTTCGATCCGGTCCATACATTCGTCGACCGGTCTCGTGATTTTCTAGATTTTAAGGACCAAAACTCTGCACTTTTTCGAAGTGTTTCTCGTTTTTCTTCATCTCCACTTTCGACCCCATCTAAAACCCACAAAACCAACCTTCACTCCAAAAAAATTCCATACAAATTCAAAAACCCATCTCTTCCACACTCAAAATCCCTCATTTCCATCCATAAATCACTTCAAACTGGTTATCTGAACACTTGCTCTTCAAATACGATTTATACACTATGCATCGATTGAAGATTCCGGGCAAGCGCAATAGGAGGACAGAAATACAACGGACTCCCTCATCCGAAGAAGAACCCGCATAGAAGGAGAATAAGTTTGACAAATGCCCAATTCTTATGGGTAAGAGTGTCGATTTTGCCTCTTTTACTTTCGATGCTCATTCCTTTCAAATCGAGGAATATTTCATGAGAATGGGTTGGATATCTGTTGCCACCTTAGAAGAAAATGTCTACTCGAATCTTATCAAAGAATTATACTCCGAGAACGGGCATAACTTGTTTTCTCAAAGGAAAGAGGGTAAAGATTACTAGGAGCCTCATTCGAAGGATGTTCGAACTAGACGATTGTGAAAATCAAGTTTATTTTCATATGATTACACCTGTCTTTGAAGGCTATAACCCTGTCGAAGCTTGTAGTCGAGTCACTGGAAAACCTTTTCAAAATGCAGTAAAACTTACTTCCAATCAACTCACTCTACCTTGTAAAGTTTTACACAATATCATTGCTCATGTAATCGTACCTTGAAAAGGCCATTTGGATGAAGTTAATTTATTTAGTCCCTGTTTGATCCCTATTAAATTAAATTAAATTACATTTCATTTTTCTCTCTCCTATTTTTAATCACGCAATCTTTCATAAAATAATATTATACGTAAATCGAAAACTTTTCCTTCTTTTTCAACCATTCATTTTTCTAAAAAATACTATTATCCCCATTTTCATTTTCAGACAATGGAGATCAAACAGGGGCTTAATGTCTTCTTCTTGACTCATTCATGATGGGACGTAAAGTCGATTTTCCTCACACTGTCATGTGTCACATGAACAACGTTCATTCCACCACTAGGGCCATGGGTTTACCTTAGGCGCTTGTCAAAATTTTTAAACATTTTGAGGCGCCTTTAAGTGGAGAGATTTTTATCAGTCAATGTCTTACTGACACCATCAACGTGAGCGCTCTATGAAAATTGTGAGGGATCAAGGGCAGTGAGTGGCAAAATTTAAGAGGTTGTTCTCTTCTTGTTTCTGTTTTGTAGTTTTGAATTTTGAATTCATTTTGAATTTTGTGTTTTCAATGTCTGTTTTGAAATTGTTGAAAATACGTTCTCTTTATCATTTTGAAAAATCGTTTCTCAAAACATAAAATTGAAAAATGCGTTTACTTTGAAATTTTGAGAATAAACATGAACAACGTTCATTCCACCACTAGGGCCATGGGTTTACCTTAGGCGCTTGTCAAAATTTTTAAACATTTTGAGGCGCCTTAAGTGGAGAGATTTTTATCAGTCAATGTCTTACTGACACCATCAACGTGAGCGCTCTATGAAAATTGTGAGGGATCAAGGGCAGTGAGTGGCAAAAATTAAGAGGTTGTTCTCTTCTTGTTTCTGTTTTGTAGTTTTGAATTCATTTTGAATTTTGTGTTTTCAATGCCTGTTTTGAAATTGTTGAAAATACGTTCTCTTTATCATTTTGAAAAATCGTTTCTCAAAACATAAAATTGAAAAATGCGTTTACTTTGAAATTTTGAGAATAATTTTTTTATAATATTTTATTCAAGAAATTTGATTATTCAATAAATTTTTATAGTTTAATGTTAATACAGTATTAAACATAATATTAGTTGAACTTTATAGAATTATTTCATGTTAGTCGTTGGATTTTATTTTTATTTTAAACTAGTAACCAATTTCAATTTTTGTTCCAATTTGACCATTATGCACGTCTCCATGATTAAAACTAATGGCTGGTCCATATCTCACGAATTGTTTGAAATTGTTAAAACCAATTCTCATTTGTAATTATTTTTCATTTCCATCACTACGCAAACAATGAAAAATATACAATAATGAGTAGCAAATTCCACCTCATTTTGAGTCAGGATCATTTTTAATCGTGCATAAATACTGAGTGGCCAAACCAAACAGAAACATAAATCCAAATTCAATAACATGAAACATGTTGATGAAATGTAAAACTTATCTTAATTCAAACTTCAGGCGTACAAATTATTTCAAAATTTTATAATCCTTTTGAGGTAAATAACACATTTGATATTATTATACTCACAATTAAGTATCATATCTTTTTTTTTTTTTTTCCCGATGGAACATCGCCTCTATTCTAATGCAAAAAAATGTGTGGAAAACATTCTATGGCTCCATAACTTGTGCTTTCCATTCGCAATCTGGTTGTGCAAATTTGATCTTCCCATGGAGATTTGACATTTGAAGAAATTCAAGACCACTAAAGTATTTTTGCTTCTATCACCACACTGCGAAACTGATTTTGTAACGTAAAGATTAAAAAATTACCAGCATCAACTTAAGTCCATGTCACACATTTACCATATACCTCATTTTTTCCATCAAAAT